TCTTCTTACAGAGTAGTAATTTTTCTATTGAAAATTGTTGCTACAAAAAGCAAGCTTCAAAAATTATTGTCGTTGTAGCAAAATGTAGTGGTCGTAAAAGTTTGCGGGTTTTTCCACATTTTACGTTATTTAAATACAAAGTCAAGACATTATTGCGCGATGAAAATAGTCAGAATAAAGTTATATATATCATCATTGTTAAATTATTAATGTTGTTGTGTTAGCTATTGTACACGTTGTTTTATAATGAGAATACTGAAATCGTTGTGTTGTTTGATGCTTTGTGGTGTTGCGTTGGAAGATGTTGTATTGATGTGATGGTGTGTTGATGTGATGGTGTGTTGATGTGATGTTGTGTTGATGTGATGATGTGTTGATGTGATGTTGTGTTGATGTGATGGTGTGTTGATGTGATTAGATAAGGAATGATTATGTTGTGTTGTCAAATAAGAATGTTGATGTATGCGAAGCAGGCACTTCTATATTGCGTGATAGACTTTTTATTGCATCTGATAATGTTGTTTATGCGTTCACTCTTGTTGTCATGCTTGTTAATGTTATTTGTTCTGTTGGCTATTGTTGTCAACCAAACATTTTTTGCTTGCTTGTGTGTGATGTTGTCGTTGTTTGATGATGATGTTGTTGTTAATATGTTGTATGTGTGTGTGTATGTATGTATGTATGTGATGTGTGTGTTTATGGATGTATATGTGTGTGTGTATGGTGTAGCATGTTAAAACGTTGATATTTTGCATGTTGTTATGATGATGGTGTGTTGCATTTTGCAACTTTGAGACGAGACAGAGTCTTATTACCTTATTTTCAAACTTTCAAATGGCTTGAGGATTAATATCAATAATCCAGCCTATTGGTTTGTTGCATTCCGAATGTTTTTGTTGCTTGTTCAGCAGTTGCTGGTAAGCAGGATGACATATTTCTAATAAACAAGTAAAATTTATTATTTGAATGATACTTGAGTATTAATAATACTTAATATGCGCATGTACATATTTTTTATTCAAAAAATCCTTTTAATGTTTCGGAGCTTATAAAAAAATAAATTTAACTCGATGTCGAACCTGTCACAGAAGTGTGAAACATTTTCTTTTTGATCGTTTTCCAGTCGAATAAACTTATAACTATGTTACATTTTTTAAAATAGGAAGAATTAAATTTTTGATAATAATATGCTTGCAGGGAGTGTTCAGCAGTCAGGAACGTATGGAATAAACATTATTAATTAACATAATGGAAGATAAAAATTTATTCCGTAAAATTGAAAAATGGATGAATGGTAAGAAATTTTATTGTTGGAAAGTTGATGAAAAGTGAGGAAAAGAAATGATTCATAACAAGCTTGCATGCTAACTGGCTGTTTCGTACAGCGTGCTTCCAAAAATTGCACTTTAATTATCCAAATAGGAAACTTTTTACAGTTTTTCAAATTCTTCAGACGCCATGAATCCCTTTTTGCCTTAGAGGTGGAAACAAAAATTCTCATTGGAGAGATTTAAAAAAATCATTTTCGATTCAACGCCTGAAAGATTTCTAAATTCAATTTTTAATTTCTCTCTATAACAATTTCCAATTCATCTCAGTTTAAAAAACAGATCAATTATTTTATTCTCATCCTCTTAGTGGTCTTATAAATTTGGATTTGATATTCTGTTTAGGCGGATAGTGAAATCAGCTCCTACAAAATGTTTTTTTAGGAATTTTAAATTTAATTAAAAAGTTTCAGTAAATGGAAATGTACCCTTGCATCCGCTAATCGAGCCAATATTGCGTGTCATGTCGATAAATTTATTTATGTAGAACAATTAAAGAACTGTCTTTCATTCCAATAATGAACGCAATGAAGAATAATAAATTTTAAAATTTAGGATTGTTGAAAATAATTAGCCATTAGAGGAGCCAAAAAAACTTATTTTTCATAAAATAAATGGTTTAACTTTGTTTGAAATAAATTTCCATTTAAAAGTTTTTAGTGATGTAGAAACAATGGCTGTCCATAAAGTTTCGCTGAATAGATGTTGTTATAGCAAACAAACCATTAATTCAAATGATTTAAAAAAAATTTATCATTAAATAATTTTTTCAATTCTATTTACAATTTATTTATAAACACTGATAAAGTTTTTCCTTGTTGAACTTTATTTTAATTAGTTTGAATGCCAATTTCAGTGCATTCTATTCAGTTGAGTTCATAGAAACTATGAGGTTTGTGTATGTTTGAATTTGTTTGTCACAACCCAAACATGTGATGTGAGCGATGTGGAGCGAATTGTGTGACGAATGCAAGACAGGTGCTGCATTTAAAAACATTGCTTCCACGTAATGAGCTTTGTGTTCAATCAGAATGCATAACAAAACATTAGGAAACGAAATTAGCAATGTCATTCGTGATGCGGGCGTATGCAACCGACTAACTGAGAAATAAAGGCGTTTAAATTAATTTATGTGCTCTCGTGTTTTGGTGGTTACCAATATTTTATAACGAAGTTCATTTGTCCATCTTCAACATTTCATAATTATTCTTAAAACATTCAGGGTTCAAAGAAAATTCAATTATATCATGTTGGTGATACAAGTGTCAAACGACAAAAAACTAAAACGCATACATTAAAATAAGGTTGTCGGCACTGACATTAAACCTATGAACTATCAAATTTGAAATCATCAAATATAAATATAAATTTTAACAAATAATGAAAATTGAACAGACCAGTAACCGAGAGTTGTACAGGGGTGCCGACGATTTCGTTTCGTTTTGAGGTGGCCAGGGAGGTGAGGGAGCAACGGTAGATGCCACTGTCACTTAGTTGCACGTCGGAGAGTTCCAAGGTTTTCAGATCAGGCAGCATCTTCAGCCGGTCCTTTGTTTCGTGGTTATACATGCAGTCAGTTAAACATTAATTTGTTCAGCCAAGCATTAATGTGCACAACCTCAGACAGTAGCATAACCAGACTTATTTGGCGGGGCTTGGATTTTTTTACATAAAAAGTTTGAAGAATTCTTCATGCACGTGACAAATTATTTAAAAATGACTTTTCAAATATTAAAATCAACAATAACGTGAAAGGCTGCAACAACGTTGAATCTAAATTGTTAGATGAATTCTGTTGATTGATCTTAATCTAGACAAAAAGGTTTGTGGTCGGACTCCAACCTACACCACACCTCTGACATCATTATTGGAAAGGTCTACGTATAACTCAACTGATAACCAAATGTTAATAATCAATAACATACAAGCCGTGTTCTAATCTAATCTACAAATTCAATGAATAAAAGAATAAATGACTCTGTTATTTAAAATTTAATTGAAATTTTATAAAAATGTTGCAAGGCTTTTTGATACTTCAACCTAAATTCTATTTTCAAATATTTTCAACGCCAAGACAGGTTTGTTATAATTTTTTTTTAATTAAAATTTTCTGTTCGAGTCAGCCCGTTATTGTCAAAGTAGGTGATAGAAAAATCTCAACCTTGTCAGCGTAGAACTTGTATGTGTCAAACCATTTCACCCCCATCAACTTCTCACATTTCTAATTTTTCAACTTTTCAGTTTTTTATGCACTGCCTGACTATATAGCTCAACTAGACCATACACTGACCTATTAATTTTGCAGTTGAAACAAATGTACTACATGATGAACTGGCTTAAAAGTAAAAATTCATTTTAAAGGATTAGCACAATTTTAATTTTTATTCATAATGGCATGAAAAAGATAATTTTTTTTATCAGATGAATATTTCATTCCACGTTAGAGCATGGGTCAACAATCAGTAGATAATAATTCTTCTTTGGAATTTAATTTATAAAACTTTAAAGCTCTTGAAATGAAAAACTTTAAAAATTCAAAAAATTTGTTCAAATCTATGGTACATAAATTTAGGTACATAAATTTATAATTTAACTTATGTCTGTATATAAAAATATATTATTAATTATGATTATGATTATGAGGTTATTATTAAAAATTGAATTAATAACTATACGAGTTTGCGCTTTGATGTCGAGGGCATTTAAAGTTCTCAGCCATAGTGTTGTTTGAAATATTTACACTCTGCGTCATGATTAATGATTTTTGCTATGAAATTTATTTCATCTTTATTTACATTACCGAAACCTTTATAATGAACAAGGAAGAACTAATCAACATTGAGTGGAATTGAAATCTAAGATGAAAGTTAATGGGAGATAGATTCAAGCCTTTAAATAAAATCAGAGAAAGATCAGATGTCAACCGTCCCCATCATACTCAGATATGCGAATGTTTCATATCTTATTCTGAATTACACGAATAATTCAAAAATAATTTGCACGCTTACAACCTTGAAAGGATCAAATGATTTTTTTTATTATTTTGCGTTTCTGATTAATTTTGTCTTTTTTAAAATTTTAATTTAAATCAGGAAGTGGTTTGTAGTGCAGAAATAATGTTACAAAACTTTGAATATAATTGAATAAATATTTTATGTAGATAGATATTTAAACCAAAATTTCACACTTAATTGTTTTTATCAAATATTCCAGTTTTATATCTCTGCATAAGAGGTTTAGACCGCCATATTTTAGCACCGGGAGTTATAATAAAAATAAAAAATAAAAATAATGATAGAATGTTAATTGAGAATTATGCTTTTGCAATGGAGTGCCAAGAGACGACGATGATTTCTCAATGGCAATGTTCTGCTCTCACATTAGCACATTCAGGCAATTGCAGGCAACATTTCGCATTTGCAGATACTTTAATTAAAAAACCAACGTACTATATAAACTTAATTATTCATCTACTCTTTTTATTTACTCATTTTATTTACTTATTTTATTTTTACTTGAGTGACAAAGGGGCGATGGATTAATTATAAAATTGCCTTGCACATGTAGATATAATTTTATACCGAGTTTTCTTAGTAATATTTATGAAAATGAGAATAAAATGTTGAGGTCTGGCTCTTTTTAGATTAGCTAAAATATATACTGCTAACTAGTTTATATCGTTTTTTCAATCCCCTTTTTGTGCACCTTATTGTGTGTGTGTGTGTATGTGGGAATAAATAAACAAATAAACAATTTCAAATTGGAGTGAAGTACGTGTGTGTGTACGTGTGTGTGTGTGTATGTGTGTGTGTGTGTGTGTGTGTGTGTACGATCCTGCTTCAACAACCGCTTTTTATATGACGGCGGATTGAATAAAACTTACACACTTTGAGAAATACATGTAAAATTTCTACCCCATCGAATCTATGAAAATTTAAAAATAATTAGTAATAAAAATTGGAACCTGATATTCTTCTTCGATCCGCGGTGGAAACACACTAAAAATGACAATAATGGGAATACCGAGGTCTTGCTTCTTCCAGGCTATCACGTGACTGCTCGTATTCAGGAAGAACAGGGAAAGGTTAAGGTCACATGGTAGGTGAACCAAGGAACCCACGTGGTGCGTTATGTTGATGATTGGCTGGTAGTGGTGGTAGTGGTGGTGAGAATGGTGGTGCTCTTGTCTGATCGTCAGGTGACCTGGTGGTATTTGTGTTTGTGTGTGTGTTTGTGCGTGTTTTTGTGTGTAGCCGTATGAATATATATTTCAACAATTCTTGTGTTAACTTTTATACTTTTATGGCGCTCTTAATGAGAATTATGAAAAAAAATATACCGCATTCGTTTACAATATTTTCTTGTAGTTGAAAATTTTGTTATCCTAACTGTTATACCGAAAAAAAATACGTGAAAGAATGTCTCAGTTATAATGGTAATTAGAAAGAAAACAGAAGAAGATGTCGTGACATCATGCTAACCATCATCATTTCTCCTTCCACATTCAAATTTTCAACTTTGTGTTTTTTTCATGTCGTTAGCGTACACTTTTTAATTTAATTTTTATTAAAAAATGTTTTATAAAATATTGTTAAAATTCATTTATTCAAAGATGGTCGGAAAAAAGCAGCTGATCACATTTCGAGCTAGTTTTACTAAATTTTATAAAAATAACAGATAAGAAATGGCCATGTTTAAAGTGAAAATATAATTTGTTGCGTAAACTATTTACACAATTTTGTTATAAAAATGATTATTGACGACATTTTAAAAATTTTGTGAAATTAAAAATTGAAAAAATGTGGCATTTGAAAACACTTAAGAATCACATTGTAGTTGTTGCTTTTTCCAATATCCACAGGGTGCAAGTTTAAATTTTTCTCCATGTTGAAAATGTTTTCCTCGAATACATTCGTTAATGTTTTCATGAATGTTAATATATCAAGTAGCCTACACACTCGATACATTAACAGTTTAACATTCATTCAACATCACTCGAAAAATCACATTCAGACTTTGAATTTTTATGTAAGTTTTTTCAACAGCTGTGAATCATAGAAACAAAACTTTGAGAAAGAAATGCCCACGACTCATAACAATTTTTTTTCTTCTCTTTTTTTTTATTTAAAATTTACTTTTTCGCTTTTGTGTCTTTGGGATGCACTTTGGGATGTCCTTTGTGTCGTTGGGATGCTATAAGTGCTGCGTTTCAACGATCAATTTATATTTCGCATTTGAAAAAATGTTTAAATCTCTTTAGTGAATTTTTAATGCATTTTCTAATTAAAAAATTGCATCAAAGTCTGTTTCAAGGTATTTGTCTGCTGTGAATATTATTTGAAATTTCGTTTAACTCCTCGCATTCGCTTGTGTACAGTTTTTAAAATTAAATCTATAGTACAAAAATTATGTTCAAAATGTTTTGTTATTGCACAATTTTTAATCTAAGTTATTTTGTTAACATCTGTTGAAATATTTTTAGAGCTCATAATTTTCTTTTTGTAAATAGCTGCCAAATGCAATACACTCTAGTAAGAACGTAAAGACTGATATGTGGGGATATATGAATGCTAATAAATAAAATCTTATTACGCAGTTAAACACATCAGTGCACGCCAAACAGTAAAAAAGTTTGGTTCAGAATTGTGAGGTGCCGATATTTTCAATCATGAAGGCGCAATAAATTGAGCGAGCAACTGTTGAGCAGGATGAATAACAATGAAAATGAATGATGTCCACAAGTGTGTGGTCGGTGCTTGCGGGTTGGTCGGTCGGTTGGTCGGTCCGTTAGCTGGTTAGTTGGTCGGTCGGCTGGTTGGTTTGTAAATTTGTTAATTTGTTGGCTAGATAACTGGCTGGTTGTTTGTTTATTGGTTGTTTGGATGGTGTGCTGGTTGTCTAGTTGGTTAGTTTGGTTGGTTGGTTAAATAGCTAGTTGGTTGGTTGACTGGCTGGCTGGTCGGTCGGCTGGTCGGTCGGTCGGTTGGTTGGATGCTGTTGTGTGTCAGCTGATTACCCTAGAGATGGCTCACGTACATTCATGATAAATACGATATCGTTCCATTTAGTTGAATTATCTGCCTGCTTGTCAGCTTCTTGCAAATGCATTTTTCGTGCACGAACGAACGATTAAACGAATGAACGAATGAATGAACGAATAGTTTCTGATTGTTTTTCCTGCACGATTGTACGGAATTGCATGCATGCATGCACGTACTGACGTGTTCCCATGCAGCATGCATCCGTTGATATGTAACATGTACAAGTACATACGTACATTCATCAATGAATGTACATTCATATGTACGTACGTACATACATACGTACCTACCTACATACATATGTACATGCGTACGAACATTGCGTTCTTATGTAAATGCATACACGTAAGTACTTAGCGATGCATGCATGTAGCGACTTGCTATGTAACGTGCTGTGTCTGCACAAGCGCCAGAATGTGACAGGGTTTTGATTAATTTCATCAGAAATTATGAATCGTTTGCGAGGTTTTTAACATCAACCAGGACAATCACACATCCCTCATGCAACCGTATTTCATTTTATTTATAAAACTATTTTCTTATAGAGATATAAATAAGTAAAATCACTCAAATTATTTGATCTTTGCAACACTTCACAAAAACTTCATTCTGTTCGGGCAAAGATTGTTAGTTGCTTGTTACACTAACTTTCAAAACGTATTGAATGAACTGGTATACAAATACAATATTCTAAAACATTTAAAATTTTTCTATTTTTTAGCAAATTAAAATTTTCACTTCACAAAACTTCAAACTATAATTGCGTTATCTAGCGCTTCAGCAGTTTAAAACATGCGATAGAGGTGTGGTTACTTTTCCGTCTCTGTACCTACACGATGTACACCACAATATGGGCTTAACTGGCGGCAATACATTCAGCATGTTTTTATTGGCTTATTGATACGGGATTATTTTTATACATGACGCTTGGATTTTAGTACTTTTTCAATTTCAATTGTGTTGGTTTTTTATTAAATCAAATTTATAACATTTCTTTGTTTATTTTTTTTTACCGTAATCACTTTTGTAAAACAGTATTTTGAAATATTAGTTTGTTGAAAAATATTTTAAACAACAAATCGTATTCTAAATTATGAAAAAAATGTTGAAAAAATGAAGTTTCAACGGAATGATTTTTCAAAAAAAAAACCTCAATAACTCAGTCATCAGAATTCAGGCGAATACAGATGAATGAAAACATTTGATGAGTTCGTTCGACTGTCAATCTGTCAATTTAGGTGTTTAATATATCACCCCATGTAAAAACGACACATCACCATATATGACATCACATAACACAACATCACATGACGTCATCTCCCCTGACATGACGTCACTTTACACCACCTCACATGATCGTCTATACGACAGGCAGACTTAATGCTGAATCCACGTCTTTCACTTCATCACACATTCATCCATTCTCCCCACAACAAGATTTTCTCAACTTATTGAACTTTCTGTCGAAACAGTCAGTTTTCATTTCAACTTTTTAACAACACACCCATAATAAATTTCATCCTGTGTTATTGTTACTGTTGTTCATAAAAGTTATTTAACTGTAGAAATAAGTTTGAATGCATTATGAATAAGAAGGAGAAATCACTTCTAATGAAAGATGCGAGCAGGCATCAATCAGGCTGATGTGGGGTGCTGACGATGCATGGTCTTCAGATTGCCTGGACTTCACTGATGGACAACTTGCATCACCTGCCTCTTATGATTGGCCTCCTAACAAATGCAGCCTTATTAATAAACGTCATTTAAAGCCGCCAAGCCGCCATAAACCAGTCCATTATTTATCTCCTGTTTTTCATTTACATGATTTACGAACGAACAAAACTCGTAAACGAAACGCAGGCAGGCAATGAAAAAAAAATGAAAAAATTTTTTTAGATGGTCATAAAAAATGTATGAAGGTCTGATAAAGATTGTTCGTAAAAGAAGCGTTTGAATAAAAGCAAGACAAAAACATGGACGTTAATATAGAAAGGAGATATATACAAGACGGGTCACATTAGCATCAGAGTTCAGGAACCGCCCACTACATCATAAGACATTCAGGCTCTTAATAAAATCTTCACCATGTAGAAAAATATGCATATGTTTCTATGCTGACTTGCATATGAACATCATATACTTTGCTCTATATGAATGAATGAATGAATAAATGACCTATGTAGTATCTCAGACGTGCAAACCCGAAGTGCATTAACGCCGCGTTGACTTTCGATCAAGAAGCGCAATTTTTACACTGTATACTGTTGTATGTAGTTGAGACTGGTTGGCTGATTGGCTTATTGATTGGTCGGTCAGTCGGTTGGTTGGTCAGTTAGTTGGTTACTTGATTGGTTTATTGATTGGTCGATGGGTTAGTTGGTTGATCAGTTGGTTGGTTAGTTGATTGGCTAATTAATTGATTGGTTGATCAGATCGATTGGTTGGTTGGTCGCTTGATTGGCCGGCTTACTGATTGGTTGACCAAGTGGTTGGTTGGTTAGTCTGCAAGTTGGTTGGTCAGTTGATGGGGTGGTTGATTTATTTCTTCAAAATAGTAAAACATATATACAGTACAGCATAAATATACTGTGTATAACTGTATATTTATGCCGTACTATGTATAATTATGCTAATGTTTTTGTGCATGAATGTGCAGTTTTTTGAAAATGTTCTTTTGTTTGTAAATGAATATGTTTTACGAGAGAATGTTGATATGCAAATCTATTATCGCTAGTGTGTTTTATGCTTTCGCTTGTATGTCTAGAGGTTAGATGTGTCTGTGTGTGTGTGCATGTGTGTGAAGTTTTGTGTTGGGTTTTGTAAATATGTGAGTTGTTCAAGAGTGTGTTGATTTGTGTTTGTTTGCATGTGTTAATATTTGTGCTAGTGTGCGCATGTGTGGACGTGGTTATTTGTACGCGTGCAGATGTCCAAATGTTAATGTGTGCCAGTGCGTTTTTCTTCGTCCAGCTTCAAATCATTTGGTTGCTATTGACAATGCAGGAAGGAACAATTAGGTGAAACTGCAATTTAATACATACTTCTTTATCCTGTATCAGTGCTTGGACGTTGATCACAAATGTAGCAAATTTTTAAACTGGAATGGCGCAGAATTAATGAGAAAACGCAGATTTTTGTTAATGAATTTTGCAGTAGCAATTTCGTCATGTACCACTTTCTATTACTGGAAGAAATCTTACGATAAAATACCAACACAAAAAGAATTCACGAATGTAAGTGACAGAAAAGAATTTTCATATAAATTATTTTTGAAATCAATTCAAATCACGCATTTCTTCCAAAAAAATTGAATGAAAAAATTGTAGAAAGGAGAAAGGAGAACGTGTTGAGAAGCACACGCGAGCAAATTTTGCCTGGTCTCAGTCTGTTTTTGTCGCGCAAACAGCATTAAGTGACAACATGGAAACATGAAAATTTTTGCTTTTTTTAAAGTTTCAAAGGTTATACTGTATCGGAGACACTTTCAATGTAAAACCATCGATGTAAAGTCGTGACAGATAAAGAGTTACAATACTTTTTTGTTGAATCATATTTTAAAATTGCATTTTTGTTTAATGTTAACAAATAGCGGTTTTGTTGTGTAGCTGCACAAAAATTGTTGAACAGTTTAATGTTATGATGCTCTTTTTAATTATTTTGTTCAGTTTGCAACAGGAACAGCAACAAATTATCAGCAAACCATCAACAAATTATCAACAAATCAGCAACAAACCTGCAACAAACTAACAACAAGCCAGCAACAAACTAACAGCAATCCAACAACAAACCATCAACAAACTAGCAACAAACCAACAACACGCCATCAACAAACTAGCAACAAACCA